CGAAACATTTCTCAAAGGCACTTCAGAAAGCGTCACACTCTTACTGCACTGTCACTTCCGCGACAGGGAGCTGGTGGTTTGCGTCACTCATTACAATCACATCGCCATTCTCCTGCACCACCGCCTTCTTCTCCACAAGCAGCAAAAATGCGATCAGTTTTTTCCCGCCATACCCGCGGCTACCTTCCCTTTGCTGAGAGTACTGCGCTGCAGACGCCACTTGCCGCGTGAACCAGTCTCCCCGTGGATTGCTTTTACGTTGAATAGGGCACATTCCGTTCCGCAGGATAGGGTCGAAGGAGCTCGAGCGAGTCCCGTGAAACGCGAGGTCCAGATTTCCTGCTTCTGCCGTGTCCATGTACGTCAGTCCCTTGACTGAAATTCCATGCGACAAGCCAGGGAGGTTAGGAAAAACAGGAGGAAACCCCTTGAAAGTAGCAGGGAAGGGGACGTGTTAGAAGGTCAAGGGGAATATGGGCCCGTCGAAACAACTCCTACGATAAACATGAAGCATGAGAGGTGCAGCCGAGAGCAGAGAGGAGCATGTACAAAGTTCTCGAAAAGTAACAGAGAGCATACCGAGAGCAGCATCAGCGGGCAGATTCTGTGCAGTGGAAAGGAATCGCGTGAATAGCGGCGAACCCGGAGTGAGGTACGGGTTGCGGCGAACATGCAGCACGACGGAGTTGCACTTCGTCGCTCGCTGCTTCACAACATGCTCCACGTACGCCTCTGTCGTGAAAGCATTGATGATTTGGTTCCATACCTGCCATGAATCAATTTCAAAGTATCAGATTCCAAATTTCAGCCATTCTCGTGAAGTGAAAAACCATGGTCAGACGGAAGTTAGAACACGGATGGTTTTTTTTTACGATAAGCGGAGAGCTTACCACAGAAGGCGTTACCACAGCCGCGCTCAGCTCAGTAAGCGTCAGCCTGGGGATGATCAGAACGGCCCGCTCCTGTCCGCTTCCCGTGTTCCTCTGCTGAAGGCTCTGCAGGTCCAGCGTGTAAGTCGCGCCGCTTGGGTAGACATTCGACGTGAAAATCCCCAGGCTCACGTTTCTAAGGCCCAGCGAGGCCGCCTTGAGGATCGCGCGGGACGTGGCGCGGTCGTAGGGCCGCCATTGGTCGTCGTCGCGCCAATAGATGCCGGGAAGGTCGGGCTCCGAGCAGGGACGAAACGTGATGCACATGGTGTCGGCGCAGAGTTACCCCGTTGGCAATGCGATTCACGAAAGCGCTTCTCACGCTGCTGCTCAGAATGCTCGTGATTCTAGCTTCTTTCGACGAGAGCCGAGGAAGACAACGAGCCCGAGGTCCGAGGCGCTGCGCGGCTACGACTGGGAAGCGCGAAATTTATGCCCGTAGGGAAGGTAGTGTGGGGTTGATGGCAGGTTTTAAACTGGTATTTACCTTATGACGGCTGAGCTGGGACTGCTAAGTTCGCGTTCTTCAGGATTTTACCCCGTTCCTTGTTGTATATTTACCGCCAAGTATGCTGGCTACTTAATGCTCCCTCAGATCTCCCCCAATCATAACCTTTAATAAACATAAGCATATAATTCCAGGAATTTCAGCGCCAGAAATCTGGAAAAACTCAGGGGAAACGCGAAAAGTGGACCTTCCTCGCCCGCCCGCATCCCCCCCTCATCAAATCCTTTCACATTTCGGATTTCGCATCCCTCGAAAACTCCTATTTTCATTCTAGGTGTTTCCTTGGCTCGGCTTACCTCGGATTTCTCTTCTTGCGTCCAGCTAATAGCTAGCACATCGGAACCCGAACTCTCTTATCGGCGCTTCTAGGCACGCTTGAAGCTGTGAGAATCTCACCCCATTTGTTGCCTGCCTGAGAAGTTCCAGACTACGTTGGAAACCACTAATCAGCTTCGAGGGTGGCGGAACCACTATTCCAGCATTTTTATTTTTATTTTCTTCTACCCGTGTTGATCCACGGGTATCCACGCCTTACTCTCGCCGTCGCAAGGCCATGTACTTGCCATCATCCATCGCGAGTCGCGAGACATGGCCATCAAGACAGCATGCGTCGTGCCTCGAGTCGCGCGCATCACAATACCCATCTTTAACGTCATGCGTCATACCTCGTCGCATACCATACCCCAATCCCCAGCTTAACACCATGCGTCGTGCCTCGTGCCTCGTAAACGACAGTCCGCCATCTTAACGTATGGATCATGCCTCGTCCTATTCGATCCGCCAGCTAGCATCCCCTTCCGCGCCGCCATACGACCAGCCCGCCATGGCGCTTCTCGCGCATCCCGCCTACCTAATGACCGCTTGGCTATGCGGTCAACAGGTAGGCTATGCACCTTCCACGCGTCTTACTATGCAGCAATCGGAGCGCCTTACCTCCTTACTACGACGAGCCCGCCATGGCGCTTCTCCCGCATGCCACTTTTCCCCACGCTCTTCATACGTCTTTCCCCACGCCCTACTATTAGCAAAACGCAACTAGACCGTTGTATCATGCTACCTTCCACGTGTTCTATGCAGCAACCCCTGCGGCTTGATGAGAATTCCAGTCAGTCTCCAGATGCGCTGCGGCTTAGCAATCAACGTCCCCCTTCCGGGCAGCCTCGAAACGTACATGCATGGGTTTCTCGCGCCGCGAATGTATATGCATGGGACCCGAGACCCTCGGATAGGTTCACCCACCCTCGGAATGTCGAAATGCTTCCATCCTGCACAGTTCGGAACTCCAGCTGTGAATCGCCGAGGCAAGACCCTCGGGGAGACCTCGAGGGGCCTGCCTCAGGCTGGATGGTCTCCCTTGGAAGCGGCTACTGAGGTGACTTGAGATTCGGCACGAAAGTCCACTCGGGGATTCCGCGGACTTGAGTCACGCCGCTGCCGCTGTGCCATGCCTTGGCTCCGCGAGTTAACCTCAACCGAACCGAACGAGTGATATTAAAGCGTCGGGGGCGGACGAGGTATTGTGCTTCTGCGACAGGTATCTCTCGCTCCGCCAGAAGCTCAATCCATGAGCGTCTTTCGGCATGGATTCTGATCAGCCTGAACCGTCTCATTCAGTAGAAACGCTTCCTCGTGGCAAGGCTGCTTCTCCCGTTACACACGGCAAGGCTGCTTCTCCCGTTGCTCCCGGCAAGGCTGCTTCTCCCGTTACACACGGCAAGGCTGCTTCTCCCGTTGCTCCCGGCAAGGTTGCTTCTCCCGTTACACACGGCAAGGCTGCTTCTCCCCTTGCTCACGGAAAGGCTGCTGCTGCTGCTTCTCTGGGCGAGTCTCTGTCTGAAGACAATTCGGCTGTGTTCTTCGACTGCCTGCCCTGCCTGCCATCACCCAGCAGCAGCAGCAGCAGCAGCAGCTTCGAGGGCTTGACCTCCGTTCCTCCCTCCCCCTCTTTTCCTGGTCCATCCGCATATCCTCCTCCTCCCCCTGCTGCTCCTCCTCCCTACCCTCCCCTCCCGTTCGCGCCGACCTTCCCTCCCTACTCTCATCTCTATCCTCCTCCTCCATCTCCTCCTCCTCCTCCTCCTCCTCCATATCATTCTCTCGCTCCTCATTCGCAGCCTCCTCTCCCTGCTACTCCATTGTACTACCATTATCCACATCCGTCTCTATCTCTTCCTCCGCCTCCTCTCCCCGCTACTCCATTGTACTACCATTACCCACATCCGTCTCTATCTCTTCCTCCGCCTCCTCTCCCTCGTCCTCCTCCCCCTCCTCGTCCTGCTTCGGCTGCTCCTCCTCCTGTCCCGTGGGAAGCTGCATACGCAACAACAGCAGCAGCAGCAGGAGCTGCGCCTTCGGCTGTTCCCGCTGGTCCTCCCTCTGCTCCTCCTGCTGCATCTGCTCCTCGTCGTGTCACGTTGCAAGCTGCATACGACATTCTCCTTCCACTGAAGCAAGAGATAGAAGCAGCCGCTGCAGAGGCAGTAGAAGCAGCAGAGACTGTGTCTGGACTGCAGCGTTTGGCAGCATCTGCTGCTGGCAGGGCGGCAGCCGCCCAGGCGGAAGCTACAGTCGCCGCTGCGGAGGCAGCTGCTGCTGCGGAAGCTTCAGGGAAGGCAGGGATCGAGTCAAAAGTTGCTGCAGGGAAGGCAGAGAGAGCAGCACGATTTGCTGCGATTTTTACTGAGATTTTTTGTGAAGGGGACGAAGGAGAGGATACTTGGGAGGTTGAAGAACGCACAGGGATTGAGGAATACGATAAGACTGAAGGGCGCCCTCACACTGAAGAAGGCTTTCAGGCCAAAGGCGAGCGCACAAGGATTACAGGCAAAAGGGAGGTTGAAGAACGGCTGGAGACTGAACGAGACAATAAGTCTGAAGGGCGCCCCCACACCGAAAAAGGGTTGCAGATCAAAGGATACCCCCCTCAGGACTCTCCTGCTTTTGGGGAGGGTTTTGTCAGAGAGGGAGGGGTGGAGGAGGAGATGAAACGAAAGAGAGAGGGTAAGGAAGCGAGGGAATTTGCTGCTATGGGTGGGGAAGGAGAGAGAGGTGAGGAGGGAGAGATGAAGTCGGGAGAGGGGAGAGAATTGGGAAGGAAGAGGCACGGACGGCGCTGTGACGCTGGGGCACCAGCAGCAGCAGTGCCAGCAGCAGCAAGCGCAGGAGCAGCAGCAAGAGCAGGAGCAGCAGCAAGAGCAGGTGCAGCATCAGCAGGAACAAGAGCAGCGGGAGAAACAGCACCAGCATCAGCACCACCAGCAGCAGCCGCATGGCGCCTGCCGAATAAACCAAGCACAACCTTGAACGGGCCTATTAGGGGCACAAGGCCAGTTAGGAGCACAAAGCCAATGTGGAGCATTGCAGGGATGAGCAGAGACATTGGGGTGCATGCTCGTGCTGCTAGCTCTCCTTATTACCACAACCACCACTACCGTACCTCTTTCCATCCTCGCTCGACTGATCTTCTGCATCCTCGTCAGGCACCTGACGTGGCACCTGCGGAGCAACCTGGGGAACCACCTGAAGAATCATCTGAAGAAGCACCTGAGAAATTATCTGTGGAGATGGCCCAGGATCAGGAGTCCCAGCCATTGCTTCTTTCCCGTGAGCGTCGGACCGCGGAAGGAGCAATGGATGTGGAGGAAGTAGAAGAGGGGGCTGACGTGGAAGAGCAAGGGGAGCGTGAGGAGAGTGCAAGGGGCAGGTTCTGGGCTTGTTGGGAGGCTCTGCTAAGAGCCTTTGGGGATGTGGTTGCAGGAGTAGCGGGCACGGCTCGCCGTTTCAGGCCTTGGGGTGGTGGAGGGGAGGGAGGGAGCAGCAGGGATGATATGGAGATGGAGGATGTGACAGGGGTGCGTAGAGGAGAGGGAGGAGGGAAGATGCGGAAGAGCAGGGGTTCGGAGAAGGGAGGGGGCAGGAGAATGGGAGTGGAAGATGATACTGCTAGCTGGGAGCGAGAGCGAGAGCGAGAGCAGCAAGACCAGCAGCAGCAGGCCCTCACGCAACAGCAGCAGCAGCAGGCCCTCACGCAAGAGCAGCAGTGGCAGCTGTGGCGGCAGCAGCTGTGGCAGCAGCAACAGCCAGAGCAGCAGCAGCACCAGCACCAGCATCAGTGGACAGATTTTTATGGACAGTGGCCGGGGTATCAGCCGTACCACCAGCAGTACCAGCAGTATCCACAGTACCAACAGCAGAATGATCAGCAATACTATGAGCAGCAGCTGCAGCATCATCATCATCAGCAGCAGCAGCAGCAGCAGCTGCAGCATCATCATCAGCAGCAGCAGCAGCTGCAGCAGCAGTACTATGAGCGACAGCAGCAGCAAGGGAGGCACGAGAACTTCTCAGAGAGAGAGCATGACCGCATTGTCATGTCGTCCCCACCCCTCGTGTCGCCACCACTGCTCCCTCACGCCCATGCCTCCCCCAGTGCTGATCTGATTCAATTGGACGTCTTCCCCCCTCCTGGTCCTCTTATTCCCTCTGCACCTGCTACTGCTGCTGCTCCCTCTACTGCTCCTCATCCTGCTCCCTCTGCCCCTCCTGCCGCTGCTTCGGCTGCTGCCGCAGCTGCTGCTGCTAGTACAGCCCCAGCTCCTCTCCCACACCTGCCCCTCCCCCCATACACCGTCCACCAATCTCAGGCGAATATCTTCTCTGACACGGCTGCATTTGCAGTCTTTCCCCCTCCCGCCCAAGTCACTGCAAGCAGCAAGGCTCCTACTCTTTCTCACCCACCCACTCACACGCACTCTGCTCGTGCGTCTGGCTGCCGGTTGCTGGTGGTGCATCGGGGGGATATCACCAAGTGGTTTGTCGACGGGTCGACCGATGCCATTGTGAGTGGGATTTTAAGGAGGATGAAACCAGTTTTGAGGCGCCTCAAAACAAGTCCCCCTTTTCAGTGCACAAATAATCTCTCTTTTCAAAAGGCTATTTGTTTTTTCCTGACCTGACCTGTTCCTTCCTTCCTCTCTGTGTGGCCCCTCCCATTCCTCCCTGTGTGCGACATTCCGATCCCCTGTGTGTTACCCGCCCATTTCAACGTGTTCCCTGTGTGGCCCCATCCAGGTCAATGCGGCAAACGAGGGAGTTCTTGGTGGGGGCGGGGTGGATGGAGGTGAGTGGCGAAGGGAGAGAAGGTAAAGATGGTTGGGAGCCTGGGCTCAGTCAGGCGAATGCCGCACCCAGGTGAGTGCGGCACGCAGGTGAATGCTCCCATCCAGGTCAATGCTGCAAACGAGGGAGTTCTTGGTGGGGGTGGGGTGGATGGAGGTGCGCAATGAGGGAGTTCTTGTCTTTCTTTTGTGTTTTCCCTACCAGAGTAACTGTTTTGCTGTCGCCTTGGACTGGTTTTCGTCTTACTGACCTTTTTCTTCTCCTCTCCCGTTGTTCCCCCCTTCTCTTTCATCCACCCGTCAGCCATCCACGGCCGCGGGGCGGCAGGCCCGACCCTCAAGAAGCTCTGTTACGATCCCCCTCCCTCCACTCTCCCATTGATCCCCAACTCTCTCTCTGATCCCCCCCTCTCTCCGCCCTCCAGCCATCCACAAGGCGGCAGGCCCGACCCTCAAGAAGCTCTGCTACGATCTGCCCGTGCTGAGGTTTGGCAATCGCTGCGAGACAGGGGATGCTGTGACCACAGGGTGAGTGCGTCGATGATACATCACAGAGCAACTATTGGTGCACAGGGTTATCACACTTCCACTTTGTTGTAGGCGCATGAAAAGTTGCTGCAAAATAGCGGATGCTGTGACCACAGGGTAGAGTGATTTTTATTGCACTTGCACTGAGCAACTGTTGCGCTTCCTCTTGTTTAAGCTCTTTCTAAGGTTAATCTCTCCTACTCTCCTCCGCCTCTCTGCCCTTGTGCACCCAACCTAAGTTCACTTCACGCTTCAGTGCTGCCAAGCTGCCAGTGCGCTATGTGATCCATGCTTCCCTCATACTCTCTTCCCTCATGCCAACCTCACTCCCTCATACTTCCCACCTCTCTCCTCTCTTGCATCCTCCATATACACCCTCTGCAGAGCTGCCAAGCTGCCAGTGCGCTATGTGATCCATGCTTCCCTCATACTCTCTTCCCTCATGCCAACCTCACTCCCTCATACTTCCCACCTCTCTCCTCTCTTGCATCCTCCATATACACCCTCTGCAGAGCTGCCAAGCTGCCAGTGCGCTATGTGATCCATGCTTCCCTCATACTCTCTTCCCTCATGCCAACCTCACTCCCTCATACTTCCCACCTCTCTCCTCTCTTGCATCCTCCATATACACCCTCTGCAGAGCTGCCAAGCTGCCAGTGCGCTATGTGATCCATGCTTCCCTCATACTCTCTTCCCTCATGCCAACCTCACTCCCTCATACTTCCCACCTCTCTCCTCTCTTGCATCCTCCATATACACCCTCTGCAGAGCTGCCAAGCTGCCAGTGCGCTATGTGATCCATGCTTCCCTCATACTCTCTTCCCTCATGCCAACCTCACTCCCTCATACTTCCCACCTCTCTCCTCTCTTGCATCCTCCATATACACCCTCTGCAGAGCTGCCAAGCTGCCAGTGCGCTATGTGATCCATGCTTCCCTCATACTCTCTTCCCTCATGCCAACCTCACTCCCTCATACTTCCCACCTCTCTCCTCTCTTGCATCCTCCATATACACCCTCTGCAGAGCTGCCAAGCTGCCAGTGCGCTATGTGATCCATGCTTCCCTCATACTCTCTTCCCTCATGCCAACCTCACTCCCTCATACTTCCCACCTCTCTCCTCTCTTGCATCCTCCATATACACCCTCTGCAGAGCTGCCAAGCTGCCAGTGCGCTATGTGATCCATGCTTCCCTCATACTCTCTTCCCTCATGCCAACCTCACTCCCTCATACTTCCCACCTCTCTCCTCTCTTGCATCCTCCATATACACCCTCTGCAGAGCTGCCAAGCTGCCAGTGCGCTATGTGATCCATGCTTCCCTCATACTCTCTTCCCTCATGCCAACCTCACTCCCTCATACTTCCCACCTCTCTCCTCTCTTGCATCCTCCATATACACCCTCTGCAGAGCTGCCAAGCTGCCAGTGCGCTATGTGATCCATGCTTCCCTCATACTCTCTTCCCTCATGCCAACCTCACTCCCTCATACTTCCCACCTCTCTCCTCTCTTGCATCCTCCATATACACCCTCTGCTGCCAGTGCGCTATGTGATCCATGCTTCCCTCATACTCTCTTCCCTCATGCCAACCTCACTCCCTCATACTTCCCACCTCTCTCCTCTCTTGCATCCTCCATATACACCCTCTGCAGAGCTGCCAAGCTGCCAGTGCGCTATGTGATCCATGCTTCCCTCATACTCTCTTCCCTCATGCCAACCTCACTCCCTCATACTTCCCACCTCTCTCCTCTCTTGCATCCTCCATATACACCCTCTGCAGAGCTGCCAAGCTGCCAGTGCGCTATGTGATCCATGCTTCCCTCATACTCTCTTCCCTCATGCCAACCTCACTCCCTCATACTTCCCACCTCTCTCCTCTCTTGCATCCTCCATATACACCCTCTGCAGAGCTGCCAAGCTGCCAGTGCGCTATGTGATCCATGCTTCCCTCATACTCTCTTCCCTCATGCCAACCTCACTCCCTCATACTTCCCACCTCTCTCCTCTCTTGCATCCTCCATATACACCCTCTGCAGAGCTGCCAAGCTGCCAGTGCGCTATGTGATCCATGCTTCCCTCATACTCTCTTCCCTCATGCCAACCTCACTCCCTCATACTTCCCACCTCTCTCCTCTCTTGCATCCTCCATATACACCCTCTGCAGAGCTGCCAAGCTGCCAGTGCGCTATGTGATCCATGCTTCCCTCATACTCTCTTCCCTCATGCCAACCTCACTCCCTCATACTTCCCACCTCTCTCCTCTCTTGCATCCTCCATATACACCCTCTGCAGAGCTGCCAAGCTGCCAGTGCGCTATGTGATCCATGCTTCCCTCATACTCTCTTCCCTCATGCCAACCTCACTCCCTCATACTTCCCACCTCTCTCCTCTCTTGCATCCTCCATATACACCCTCTGCAGAGCTGCCAAGCTGCCAGTGCGCTATGTGATCCATGCTTCCCTCATACTCTCTTCCCTCATGCCAACCTCACTCCCTCATACTTCCCACCTCTCTCCTCTCTTGCATCCTCCATATACACCCTCTGCAGAGCTGCCAAGCTGCCAGTGCGCTATGTGATCCATGCTTCCCTCATACTCTCTTCCCTCATGCCAACCTCACTCCCTCATACTTCCCACCTCTCTCCTCTCTTGCATCCTCCATATACACCCTCTGCAGAGCTGCCAAGCTGCCAGTGCGCTATGTGATCCATGCTTCCCTCATACTCTCTTCCCTCATGCCAACCTCACTCCCTCATACTTCCCACCTCTCTCCTCTCTTGCATCCTCCATATACACCCTCTGCAGAGCTGCCAAGCTGCCAGTGCGCTATGTGATCCATGCTTCCCTCATACTCTCTTCCCTCATGCCAACCTCACTCCCTCATACTTCCCACCTCTCTCCTCTCTTGCATCCTCCATATACACCCTCTGCAGAGCTGCCAAGCTGCCAGTGCGCTATGTGATCCATGCTTCCCTCATACTCTCTTCCCTCATGCCAACCTCACTCCCTCATACTTCCCACCTCTCTCCTCTCTTGCATCCTCCATATACACCCTCTGCAGAGCTGCCAAGCTGCCAGTGCGCTATGTGATCCATGCTTCCCTCATACTCTCTTCCCTCATGCCAACCTCACTCCCTCATACTTCCCACCTCTCTCCTCTCTTGCATCCTCCATATACACCCTCTGCAGAGCTGCCAAGCTGCCAGTGCGCTATGTGATCCATGCTTCCCTCATACTCTCTTCCCTCATGCCAACCTCACTCCCTCATACTTCCCACCTCTCTCCTCTCTTGCATCCTCCATATACACCCTCTGCAGAGCTGCCAAGCTGCCAGTGCGCTATGTGATCCATGCTTCCCTCATACTCTCTTCCCTCATGCCAACCTCACTCCCTCATACTTCCCACCTCTCTCCTCTCTTGCATCCTCCATATACACCCTCTGCAGAGCTGCCAAGCTGCCAGTGCGCTATGTGATCCATGCTTCCCTCATACTCTCTTCCCTCATGCCAACCTCACTCCCTCATACTTCCCACCTCTCTCCTCTCTTGCATCCTCCATATACACCCTCTGCAGAGCTGCCAAGCTGCCAGTGCGCTATGTGATCCATGCTTCCCTCATACTCTCTTCCCTCATGCCAACCTCACTCCCTCATACTTCCCACCTCTCTCCTCTCTTGCATCCTCCATATACACCCTCTGCAGAGCTGCCAAGCTGCCAGTGCGCTATGTGATCCATGCTTCCCTCATACTCTCTTCCCTCATGCCAACCTCACTCCCTCATACTTCCCACCTCTCTCCTCTCTTGCATCCTCCATATACACCCTCTGCAGAGCTGCCAAGCTGCCAGTGCGCTATGTGATCCATGCTTCCCTCATACTCTCTTCCCTCATGCCAACCTCACTCCCTCATACTTCCCACCTCTCTCCTCTCTTGCATCCTCCATATACACCCTCTGCAGAGCTGCCAAGCTGCCAGTGCGCTATGTGATCCATGCTTCCCTCATACTCTCTTCCCTCATGCCAACCTCACTCCCTCATACTTCCCACCTCTCTCCTCTCTTGCATCCTCCATATACACCCTCTGCAGAGCTGCCAAGCTGCCAGTGCGCTATGTGATCCATGCTTCCCTCATACTCTCTTCCCTCATGCCAACCTCACTCCCTCATACTTCCCACCTCTCTCCTCTCTTGCATCCTCCATATACACCCTCTGCAGAGCTGCCAAGCTGCCAGTGCGCTATGTGATCCATGCTTCCCTCATACTCTCTTCCCTCATGCCAACCTCACTCCCTCATACTTCCCACCTCTCTCCTCTCTTGCATCCTCCATATACACCCTCTGCAGAGCTGCCAAGCTGCCAGTGCGCTATGTGATCCATGCTTCCCTCATACTCTCTTGCCTCATGCCAACCTCACTCCCTCATACTTCCCACCTCTCTCCTCTCTTGCATCCTCCATATACACCCTCTGCAGAGCTGCCAAGCTGCCAGTGCGCTATGTGATCCATGCTTCCCTCATACTCTCTTCCCTCATGCCAACCTCACTCCCTCATACTTCCCACCTCTCTCCTCTCTTGCATCCTCCATATACACCCTCTGCAGAGCTGCCAAGCTGCCAGTGCGCTATGTGATCCATGCTTCCCTCATACTCTCTTCCCTCATGCCAACCTCACTCCCTCATACTTCCCACCTCTCTCCTCTCTTGCATCCTCCATATACACCCTCTGCAGAGCTGCCAAGCTGCCAGTGCGCTATGTGATCCATGCTTCCCTCATACTCTCTTCCCTCATGCCAACCTCACTCCCTCATACTTCCCACCTCTCTCCTCTCTTGCATCCTCCATATACACCCTCTGCAGAGCTGCCAAGCTGCCAGTGCGCTATGTGATCCATGCTTCCCTCATACTCTCTTCCCTCATGCCAACCTCACTCCCTCATACTTCCCACCTCTCTCCTCTCTTGCATCCTCCATATACACCCTCTGCAGAGCTGCCAAGCTGCCAGTGCGCTAT